CTTTTAAGTTGAGAGTCAGGGAAATAACTTCTCTATCTGAAAGAGCTTCATGTTCTAAATTTCCTAAATTAATATTTCCAGGAGATAATAAAATGCACATATCAGCATTTTGGACATTTACTGCTCGTAAATCTTGACGATTATATGGGGAGCCCTGAAAATTTAAAAACATAATATATATTTAATATATAACTTGAAACATTATTGTATATTAATCATTCTTGAAAACAATAATAAAATAAAAACTGACATATATTATAGTCAATATTCATGATAACATCATGATCCAATACTCATGATCACATAAAAAAGAACATTTCTTATAATCTTGCTAAAAGAATAAATGTTTTCACCTCTGATTGTGATAAGAAAAAAATAATTTTTTTCCATGTCAGATTTTTTTTCTTATCATGTCAGATAGTTACACCTACAAAAATATCAACCTACTAAGTTGTTCTACACAAAAAAAAATCTACTAAAAAGTGAAACTAGTTTTCAGATAACCTACTGAGGCCTAAATTGTTTTCAACCAATTACAGTCTTTTTTATTTTCAACCAATTTATGACATTTTCATTTTCGACTGTTTTATTTTTTGACCTATTTTATAGATTTTCATTTTCAACCAATTTGAGATAAATTTTCAACCGATTATCTAGTCTGTGTTTTTAACATTGTTTTTTTAAACTACAGTTTTTTTAAAATTAACAATCAATAAGTTTTCCAAGCATTTATCGAACCTTATACCTCCCAATTCTGAAGAAAGCGCTTCAACCACTGCGCTAAGGCTGAGCAATATTTGTATACTTGTATACAAATCAACAACAAATATACAAAATACACACCAGAAAGGCATAGTTATAAAATTGAAAATACAATAGATTGAATATTCAGTAGGTTGAAAATTCAGTGGTAAAAAATACAGTAGGTAAAAATATAGTAGTAGTAAATAATTTTTTAACAGAAGCTCATCTTAAATTTATGTTTGAATAAGCAATGACTAAATAATTATTGAATATAAAGTTCAATTAAAATATTAAAAAAAAATTATTATAAAATATATAATCAAATAAAAAACTCACAAGAACAATGTGAATATCTGGAAAGTTTGCCAATTTCGTCCACTTTGAAATGAAAAATAATAATTTTAATATAGTGAGTAAAAAAAAAAATTTAATAATTAACTAAAAAAATAAATTTTTCAAAAAAAAACCTCTCTTTGCAAAAAATCACCATCTCCTAATATTACCACCTTTTTCAACATAGAAGGTATATTGTTACTTGCTCTCAAAGGTAATACCTTAATAGATAAAAATATCTTCAAGCTTTCTATAAAATTCAAAACTTGATAAAATATATAAAAAAAAAAACTTACAAGTTGGCGAAGTTCTAAGGGTGGAGAATTTTTATTTGATAACACCAAAACCACAACATGATTGGAAAACTTTTCAATTACTGCTTCTTCTAATGTCTGTTAAAAATATTTTGTTTAAATTTCTAGTTAGAGTAGGTTGAGGTAATCTAAGCCTTTTTTTCAGCTGCTTTTGATACTGAGCAAAAAATATATATAGCAAAACAATTTAATTTTTTGAAGAAAACTTTATCTTAAAAAGATTAGACATTATTGTTTAGTACATCAAAAAATGTTTATATATACTTTTTAAAGTTGTCTAAGCAGCAAAAATATAACGTGAACCCACATTACCCCACTAAAATTTCTGTTTAGTGGGGTAATGTGGGTTCAAGTTACATTTATATCTTTTTTCAATGAAATATATCAACTTATAATAAAATGTGTTGGAAATCATAAAGTATGTATTTAAATTGTTTGTTCAAAAGTTTAAACATAATAGTACTTCAATAGATATTTTAACGCAAACTTTACTCATTCAAAGCACTAAATTAGAAATACACAATAAAAAATTTTTTACAAAAATGTTTATAAAAAAAAATTTATTGTGTATTTCCAAAAGAAAGCAGATATATGTGATATAAATATATGTGGTTAGCCATATTATTTTTTCTAATTTAATAAATATATAGAACAAATCACATTATAATTCACTATATTGAATATATTCAAATTTAAAAATTGAAGTACTTATAAAAAACAAAGCATGATGAAATTATGTTTAAAGAATAATGTAAATCAAAATATCAATTAAGAATTAAAGATTTTTGTGCTATATATAAGATATTCATCATCTTATAAAAATTAACATATAAGAGAAAGTTAATATGTTTATATAATAAAAATGTGCTTCAGAAGTTCTAGGCTATGAAAACATAATACCGCTACATCTTTAACAATCATCGAAATGAATCTATAACAACATGACTTCAGAAAAATGAATCCAGAAGCATAGTCAGACTTAAAATTTTTACTAACTTTTCATTTTAAAGGTATTTAATGTCGTATAAACATTAGACTCTTAATAGCACAACACACATTGACACCCGCGTTACCCCACCCAATAACTTTCTTACTTAAAAAAAACTAAGCATCATTTCCTTTTAAAACTAACTAATCTAATTATTTAATATTTTTTTTTAAATTAAATATTTTTTATTTGTCAGACCTCGTTTTTAACCACCATTTTTTTGAAGTTTAATGTTTTTGATAAAAAAATCTGTTTAAATGCGCCATTTTGGATAAAAAATATACTTAAGAATTTGCCTAATGAGCTGGTAATTAAAATTTAGAGTGCAGTTTTAGCCGCCTATAACATACTGAAAAAAAAAAGCTTTTACCTAAAATCTTTGCTCTGAAAAACTAATAAATGCTGATTATACCCATTTTACCCCATAGACCAACATTACCCAATCCTACCCTAAACAAAAATTTTAATTGTTTTTTTTTTAACTTAAAAAATTATATATTTAACCTTACAAAACCTTTGATTATCATTTTCATTTATAATAAAGTTTATTTAGTTATTAACCCTAATATTAATTTCTTAATTTATTACAATTTACTGCTGTTTAATATAAATAAGGATCTTCAAAAAACTTATCTTTTATGAAGATATATATATATATATATATATATATATATATATATATATATATATATATATATATATATATATATATATATATATATATATATATATATATATTAGGAGAACCCATAAGTAATCAAACATTTTTAGTGTGGTATGTTTGTCTCGTTCTGGCTTAGACCATGAATGCATAAACACATGTTTTATTATTTAATATTATAAGTTGTGGCTTTCAATTTTTGAATTTATATATAAACTTTTTTTTATTCCTCAGAAAAAAAATGGCAAACAATCAACATTTACGTCATTGCAACTATATTTACGCCATTGCATGCTGTTTCATTTTCAGGCGGGTGTTAATGCAACAGTTGTAACAAAGAAAATTTGTGAAGATGTATTAAAAGTCAATATGCATCAACGTTGGTTAAGAAAATTTATCAATGTTAATTTTGACTTGTCTGATAACAATTGAAGTGAGCGTCCGATAGAGTTTGACAATGTTGCTTTAAAAATACTAATCCCAAGCTAAGTATCCAGGAAATAGCAAACACTCTTCAGGCTACTTGGTAAACAGTTCAAAGAGAGATTATTACTAGTGAAGAAATGGGTCTTGTACAACAACAACAAGTGCACCAATCAATGGCTTTCTCAAAATTAACTTGCTGTAACCACTCCTAAACCATCCTTCACTTTAAAAAAAGTGATATTTAAGCGTTTGGTGGGACTGTGGTGGAATAATTCATTTTGAACTACTGAAACCAGGAGAAACAATTACGACTGAATTATACTGCTAACAATTGGATAGATTACACAACCGATTGTTGGTAAAAAGACCAGCTCTGGAGTTATAATGCTACATGATAATGCCAGGCCGCATGCAGCAAGATTAATCCAAGAAAAAATAAGACAGCTAAACTAGGAGGTTTTACCACATTCCCCATATTCACCAGACAAAGCACCATCCTATTTTTATTTATACCAGTCCATGGAAAATTCCCTGAAGAATAAAAATTTCAAAAATGTCAATGGTATTTGAACTCACTTGGAAGCATATTTTTCTTCAAAGGTCCTAAATAACTATGGAGATTACATAATTGATTAGAAATAAAATTTAATACAAATAAATTCATTTTTTTTTTTGACACTTAAATAGTTGATTACTTATGGGTACCCCTAATATATATATGTATGTATGTATGTATATATATATATATATATATATATATATATATATATATATATATATATATATATATATATATATATATATATATATATAATATATATTATATATAAACATATATATATATATATATTGATATTGTATGATACTTCATCTTTTATATTACATATATATATATATATATATATATATATATATATATATATATATATATATATATATATATATATATATATATATATATATATATATATATATACATATATATACATACATATATATATATATGTATATATATATATATATATATATATATATATATATATATATATATATATATATATATATATATATATATATATATATATATATATATGATGATATTGTATGATATTTCATCTTTTATATTCCAATATAATGATATTGTAATAAAAAAGATGAAAAAAACTGGATAAATATTACCATTTTAGCAGAGTCAAATGTTCTACTTTCACACCAATAAAATGTTCCAGTTTGATCAAACTTTGGTTTTTCGCCATTAGGAAAATAATCATCAGTTAATGAGCGAGCACTTAATATATATATATATATATATATATATATATATATATATATATATATATATATATATATATATATATATATATATATATATATATATATATATATATATATGTATATATATATATATATATATATATATATATATATATATATATATATATATATATATATATATATATATATATATATATATATATATATATATATATATATATATATATAGAATATATATATATATATATATATATATATATATATATATATATATATATATATGTATATATATATATATATATATATATATATATATATATATATATATATATATATATATATATATATATATATATATATATATATATATATATAGAATGTCCATAAATAATATCATAAATCAAATTTTAATGTACAGAGTACTGCATTTGGCATCATTTTGTCCATCAATACAAAAAAAAAAAAAAAAAAATTAAATTTCTAGTTCAACTAGAAGGTTATTTAGGTGAATTTATTTTTATTTCAATAAATAAATTTTAATTTAAAATTGAATATATTTTAATTCAACATTTATTTATGTTTTGACAAAAGCGTGGCTAACAATAAAAATTAATGGTGTCTATTTGAAAACCAATAAAAAATTATGATGCATGAGTTTAACTTAAGTCAATATATTAGTACAGTAGAAATCAAGTTCAAAAGTTGTTTTCAAGAATTTCCTTTAAAAACGTTTGAACTTGTGTATAAAACTTATCAATATTTTTTCATTATTAGTTGTTCACAACTAGTAATGAAAACTACTACTAACTTATTTCAGTTGTATACTATTAGATTAATTAAATCAAAGTACAATTGTACTTGATTCAATCAAGTATGATTAAATTAAACTAAATGATTCAATTGGGAAAAAGGAATACCTAAAAGAAACGATAGAATTACTATTAGCACATCTTCACAAGAGTCTACTATTTTCTTCTTGGCATCTTAAAAATTGAATGCTCCAAGAAAAATGATCAGGCTGTTGCAATTCAAACAATGTTTGAATACTATGAGATGTCTGATTAGATTGTTGCATTGATGTTACTGTGTTTCAGTGCTACTGAAGGTTGTGTACCTTCAGTAATACTGGCAAAAATAAAAGTGCTGTAAGCATGGTTGATGTCTAGTTATTGCGCAGACATCACATATAAAAAAGGAAAATGGCTCTTGTGTGAAAAAAATTTCAGGTTCAACAAGGGATCCCAGCAAAAGCTTTATGTAATTCTTTTAAAATTATGACCACAGATTCACAAAGATGAAAACAAACATAAGAGAATTGTAAAATTTGACTAGTCTCAAGTTGCTTTTTGGCATGGCTCATTACTGTTGAAGACTTCTGTTTCAGAGCTCTTCATAAAAATACTTTCCAGAGAGGTGGTTACAGGTACCTTTGTGAGCTTCTAGCGTTTTTCTAGGAGCTGAGTTATCAAACTTCTTATTTAAACAGCCTGGAGCTGATCGTGAAGCAAAATTTATGGTTGACTGTATATAATTATCGAGTATTCAGATGAATCAAATATGTCACCCAGCTATTTCTGAGATAGTTAGAAAAAACACATTAAACCATCTGGAGACTGCAATCAACTACATTTTATTTTTTCATGGACTTCAATTTTTCAAATTTCAAATGATGTATTAAGGTTAAAAACTGCTTTTCAGCTACAAACAGTAAACAAGTATCTTGTATGATATCTTGTATGATATCTAATGATATCTTGTATGACATCTAATGATATCTTGTATGATATCTAATGATATCTTGGAGTTAAGAGATCTACTTAAAAAAAAATGAAACTCAAATCAAAATTTTTCCTGCATAAATATTAGAAGTTTTCCTACATTAAAATTAAAAATAAACTTTATCAACAAGCAGTCCTACATTTTGTTCTTGATACTGGAGAGCTTCAAGAAGAAACTTCTGCTATGGAAAGAAAAAGTTATTAAAATATACGAAAATAAGTTTGCTAGTCTTTTACCTACTTTTCAATGTGTGTAAAAACACATAGAGTTGTAAATGACCATGCAGAATGCCACATTAAGTTAATTCAAGATTTTATTGAGAGAACAATGACAATTTTGCTTGTTTAAGTAACAATTATAATCTGAATAATATGAATAAAGTCACCATCAATTTTAAGTTAAAACATAAAACTTAATGAAATAAAACTTAAATAACCTTTGGCTTTGGATAGAAACTTAAATTTTTTTAATTTAAGTTTCTTTCTAGATAGAAACTTAATTCTTTTCAAAACTATATTGTAAATATATATATAAATATATATAATAAATCAATAAATTTTCAAAATTATATTGTAAAAATTTTTAAATGATATGCTACATCATCAGTAAAGATCAGTTAATGAAGTTGGAAATCCATGCTGCTCTTTTGAAAAAGCTTGTGACATAATAAAAAAAAAAGTTTAACAGTATTTATCAACAGTTTATCTAGTCCCAAACTACTTTATGCAAAAATATTGAATTTAGAAATAAAGTTAAGTATGGGACTGCCACACAATTTTTATGGTTTTAGATAAAAAGCATATTGAAGCTGTGAAGAAGTAATCATTTGGTGAGGTCATTAATTATTGATAGTGATACCTCAAAATCAGTATAAAACTTTTAGGAAAAATTGCTGAAGAAAAAAAATAGAGCATATATCCTTTTTATAATGGTTATACAGATGCTGTTTTCTTATATTTTTTTCAAACAATTTTGGTATAAAATAATGGTAGTAAAGTGAACATAAAAAATTCTAAAAATTAGTCTGGAATATATATATATATACTTTTTTTAAAACACTGTGAGCGTCTGATGATTTGATAAAAGAGTTTTAAATTTGCTGAGAAATATTTTGTCTTATGTTAATGCACAACTTTATTAAATTCCACCATATGAGGGGTAATGGGGCTTTTTTTGTTTGTTGTGACATTTTTGACACTACTATAAACATAAAAGATTTTGTTATTCAATGTTCAAGATTTTGTTATTCAATGTTATTCAAATATTCAAAGTTCTTTTATTCCATGTTTACAAATTTATTACATTTTTTTACCAAGTTAACTAGTTAAAAAAAAAATTATAAACTAATGTTCTTAAAGGTATAGAGTTATTATATATAGTATAATTTAACTAAAATTTATAATAGAAGTAAATATATCTTATCACAATGTGATTGTTTGAATATTTAAAGGGTTTTAGTAAAATAAACGTTGAAAAAAATTATTGACCCAATGGCCACTTTTAGTGCAGTATACATTAAAACAATTTAATATTTATTATTTTTCTGCTGTCTATTATGTGGACAAAAATAAAACTGGTCAAAGTCAATACAACGCCTATCACTAGTCTATATGAACCTGAAGGACTCTCAAGCACAGGGCCTGGTAAAACAGAGCAACTAGACTATATAATGTTTGCAGAATTTCAAGCTGTAAAACTTTAAAAAACAAAGTCTTGGCCTTAGAAGCAGAAAACAAAACCTTACAAAAATCCCTTAGCAAACTAAAAAAACCTCAACCGTTATCATTCTTCAAAAGCACATCTAATGAAAGTAAAAATAATCAAAATCTATTTCTAAATAAAGTGGCAGATGAGCAGAAACAAAGACAGCAAAAAGAATCAAGTGTTATAGTGGTGGAACTAGAGGTCTCAGACAAATATGATGAAAATAAACAGGCAGCCAAAAATTTCTTTAGAACTGTTGGTATAAATACCTCAATTATTGTGAGAGTCAGAGGTTTTAATCTTAACAAAACCCAACACAGAACTCAGAAAAACCAAGCTCATGCAGGTCATAGTCAAAGACTCTGAGTCACATGCTCTAGTCTTATCAAAAGCCAGGCATCATGGTTTCATAACACTCTAGTACAAAGATGTGTTTGCAAGAGAAGACCAATATCGTTAATGCCTCAAAATCAAAAATTACAACAAATAATGTTGATGAAAGTTCACCCCCACCCCAGCTAGAACAAACTCTAAATTAGCCTCAACAATCCTAACCGGTACAACCATCAAGTCTCAATGTTAAAAAAAAATGCCCATTTTGACCATCACCATCAATTAGATGTTTTACTGTCATATCTCATCAACCCAAATTATCAAAAACTTATTCAGCAAAAGTTTTCAGTAACATTAGTTTCTGGGCAAATAATCCATGCTCACTAAATCAAATGAAAATTGACAAGATGAAAGCCAAAATACAATCAACCACCAAGCATAACGGCCCACACCTTTTTTTCTCTTTGCTGAGACTTGGTTTACTGAGACTTTAGATACTGCTATTGGAGGGTATAACATTTTTTCACAAAACAGGGCTGGAAAGATAGGAGGTGACTTAGATATCTATGTAAAAAATGATCTTATATGTACACTAACAAATATTGAACAACTTAAAAAAAATATCATTGAAAAACTGTGGATAAAGCTCAAGTTTGAAAAAGAATCACTCCTTTTAGGGTGTATCTACTAACCATTAAATAAAAGTAAACTAGCACTCATAGAAACTACTAAATCAATTCAGACTGCTGCAGAGGCCCCCAAAACAATCCTTTGCAACTCCTTATTACTCTAGTGACTTTAATTTTAGGCACATTAGCTTTGAAAGTATTAATATTGGAGGAGGTGTTTCAACAGCAGTCAACATACTGATCAACAGCTTACCTGTCATTCAAGTCTTGTTTAGAGGAAAACCATCTTACGCAACTTGTCACTTTCCCAACCTTTCGAAATTCATGTGTTAAAGAACCTAAGTCTATCTTGGACTTAATTATAGCCAACAAGCCAGAGAGATTAATTTTCTTAACTCAAGATAAATCTTTGGGGTCTACCCCATTTGGAAAAGCTCACCTAACTATTGTAGGTTCAATTGCAGCAGCAATAAAAAAAGCTGTAAAAAAAAAAAGCATATAACATATTTAATATATGTAAGACACTCAATGATTATTTTTATACTGTATTTGAAGTAGAGCAGTATGGACCACTACCTAATTTTTCAAACTAATATCCAAGCACTTAAATAAAATAAAGGAATTGATTTTATCACTGATGAAATAGCAAAAACAGATTGCTGAAACTTGATCCTTCAAAAGCAACAGGTCCTGATGGAATCCATCCTAGAGTCTTGAAAATTTGTGCAGAAGCTTTTTCTGTTCCTTTAACCATGTTATTTAATTTTTCTATTTTAACACCCTTTGTTCCAGATCAACAGAGAAAAGCAGAAGTAACACCTATATTAAAAAAAGAAAGTCAAAGGCAAGCAACTAACAGCCAGTATCCCAAATTTTGGTACCTTGTAAGGTGCTAGAAGGTTTAATCCACAATTGTATTACACAGCATTGTGTTACAAACAAACTTATTACTCCAGCTCAGCATGGCTTCGTTAAACACATGGGGTGCACAACAAACCTATTAGAATTAGGGGATATTGTTATAGATGTCATCAATCAGGGTTTTACAGCAGACGTAATTTATACAGGCTTTTCAAAAGTATTTAATAAGGTACTGCACAAAAGACTCTTTATAAAATAAATGTATATGGCATTCACAGTCAATTACATAACTGGATAAAAAATAGATTGACAAATAGAGAACAATGTTTCAAAATAGATAAAATATTGTCGCTAAAAGTATTTAGTGGAGTACCTCAGGGTTCGGCTTTAGAACTGCTAAAGGTCCTAAAACCAAACCAAAGGATTTTGAGTCATATAAAAATGTATGCAGACAAAAGCAAGATTATAGGTATTATCAAATTTGAAAAAGATGCACTATATCTTCAAAAAGATCTTAATAAAGCTGTTAATGGTCTAAAAAAATGGCTTATGTCATTTAACATTGAAAAATGCAAAGTTATGCACATGGGCAAAAAAAACAAAAACCAAACCATATATATACAATGAAATCACAAAATGGTCATCACAAACAATTCCAAACGACAGCAAAAGAAGGGGTTATAGTATCTAAAAAATCTTAAAGTAAACTTACAAGCATGCAGCTGTAGCTAGAAACAGAGTGCTAGAGAAATCTAAAATAAGATTCAAAAGTAATGGTTTAACTCTTTGGCATTATCTATATACTACTTATATCCAAACATTATTAGAATTTGCCATCCCAGCATGGTCTCCTCATTCTATAGGAGATATAAATACAATCGAAAAAGTTCAACATCAAACCATAAAATGGATTAAGTCAATAAGTCACCTAAAATATGAGGAATATTTAGCACCACTTAATTTGACTACCCTTAAAAACCACCGCACGTTTATGGACCTTATACAGCATTACAAAACAATCAATGGAATTGACTCAATCAATTTTGTGGCGCTCCAAACTACACCAGCATATTAAAGATCTAAGTATATTATAAGAATAAGGAGCCATGCTTTTGAACTAGCCGTTGAAAAAAATTAGAAACTTTATAAAGACGTAATTTTTTTCACTAATTTAAATAGTTAAAAACTGGAATTCCTGTTAACTACCACAGTAAACGCACAATTACTCAACTGTTTTAAATTTAGACTTTAATTGTACAGTTTCTTCACATTTTTCAATTTGGCTGGCACAGCTATAATTGCATTTGCAATTATAGCTGTGCCTCTCTCCATCAATAATTTTAGTTAGTCTTAGTTCTCTATCTTGAGTTTCTTTGACTACATCGTTTAATAGAACCAAATGAGCATTTTCTTTTATTTTACCTTAATAATGGACCAAGCACAAGCAAAATTTTCTTATAATTTACCTTTAACAACCTCGAACTAAGCGCAAAAAATATTTTCTGATATTTTATCTTTTACAATAATGGAAAGACCAAGAAAAATCATTTTGATTAAATACGTTATTTGGTTGTTGGTATCATTTACTTATATTTTAAGGTTTTATTTACAAAATTTCTGATTTCTTTTTCTTTAGTTAAAAGTTTTGCTTCCAATACTCTACTCACTAAAGGGTCAAAGTCTTCTTTATTTACCACATTTTAAAGTTATTTTATGAATGTATTTTACAAAAATGTGTCAGGTATATTTAATATTTAATATCTGGTCCAAAATACATACTAACAATAAGAAAAAAAGTAAAAATTATTAGCATAGTATTGATATGATAAACAAAGTAAAAATTTTTAGCATAGTATTGATATGATAAACAAAATAAAAATTTTTAGTATAAAAGTAATAACAAACAAAATAAAAGCTTTTTAGTTTTATATTTTACATTAAATTAAATCATTAAAGGTAATTTTAAACCAATTAATTTGATTGTTAAAGGAATTTTTTTTCGTTTCTACAATTAAATATTGATTCCATATATTTTTTACAATCAAATTATTGTTTTGGTTTGCATGTTTTTGGTGATAAGAAATTTTATATTTAATATAAAACTTTTTGCTTAAAATTTTGAAAAAACTTGCTGAACTTCAATCTAGACAAGACCGCTTGCTGGGCTTAACTTCCCATCTAGCTGTGTCCTTTGACAGTGACAATGGAAATACTAATCCTGTGTCTACAATGTTTTCAAAGTTAAATGAATCTTTATAAAATACCACTCCCAGCATGATTCCAGATAAAAATTTTGAAAACTCAGTTTTTATAAGCATCTTCAGGTGCTTACTTGTACATTTATTTTTCATTCAAAATTTTTTTTGTTGTACAAAATTTTATTTTTTATACTACAGTAGGGTGTAGGGTGTCACATATTATTCTAAAAGCTATTAGAAATTAAAAAAATTTGAGAGGAGAAAAATTTTTGAACAAATATAAAGATAGTTGAGATAAAACGGGTAAAAATGATTTGTAAAAATAACTTAGTTGAAAAAAAAATCATACTTTTTTCTTTCATCTTCTGGAGCAGTTTCAAGTAAATACAAAGCATCAAAATCTATTTTTGTTTCTGCAATTTTGACAAACCTATCTAAAAATAACATTTCATAAATTTAAATTTTAATTATATTAATATATTACAGATGATATACAGTGATAATGCATAATTATAATTATGATAATAAGTATAATAATAATGGTTTTCGATTTTAAATAATTGATTTTGATTATAAAATTTTGATTATAATTGAAGAATTTTTATCAAAAAAAGTTAAATATTTTGAAATATTTCGGCAATTTTTGGCTTCTAATTTAAGGCCTCTAACTTATGGTTTATGGATTTAAAAGTATAAAAATATAAAAAAAGAAAGTAAAAGAAATATTCTTTTACTTTCTATTTTTATAAATTATAAATATATATTAAATAGTGAGGTTTGAGCTAAGTGAGTGAAAACTCACTATACAAAACATCAACGCATTTAAAATTACAAAAGAACTGAAAGAAAAATGAAAATAAATATAAACTTTTACTATACATTATAATAAAAAATAATGTTCCAAGATTGAAAGTATACTAAAACTTACTTTTTCGACATTTACATTTAACCATGTTTTCAGGATCAATAAGATCTTTGTGACACAATGAACAATATCGAAGTGCTCTAAAAAAAAAATACCAAAATATTACATAATATTAATAAAAAAATTATTATAATAGATTGGCATAGCTATGCCAATCTATTATAATATATTATGCTAGTTCTTTTTACTTCACAGATAGGACACATAGACAACACATAGACAAGTTTTGTTCAATAAACTAAAAGGAGAATAAGAGTTTCAAATAAATTTTTTTAATATTTTTGAAATATATAAATACCTGGTTTATTTTAAGTACAAAGAATTTTTTTAATTATTAATGGCAAGTCTATTATATAAATACTAAACATATAACATCGACATTAAAAAAAATTGGCATTTAAACTTTATTTACCACATTGACATTAAAACTTAATTAATAATTGCTTTTTTTGTAAGTAATTTAAGTAAATAAGAAAAGTTTATCAAGTTTTCTCAAATAAAAATTTTCAAATAAAAAAGAGCAGCACTATTGACACTATTGAAGACATTAAAACATTTGACAACATTGAGGCAAATGTGATGTTATTTTATATATGCAATGTGTTATGTTGTACAAGAAACTTCATATTATGATATTTCAGCAAAATTTTAACCTAAAAATAATTATCAAAATTGGTATTCCTATAACAATAACAACAATACTCCCAATGAGTCTTCTACTTTATCTCTTCTCAAATTTCATATATTAATGACCTGTTATAAAAACCATATATATTAAACTTATATTATAAGAAATAATAAACTTAATAAACTTTTAATTTTAATTTACATAAATAAAAGTGAAAAAAACATTTTTACTGGGCGCTACTTTTTTCTGTCAGGATATTTCTGTCTATATTTTTGAACTACCAACAACAGGAACTGCTTTTGTTCTTTGTTAATTTCATTGAAATGTTTGTAAGTAAAGTTGCTTTTCTCTATCAACACACCTCCTCCCTCAAAGTTTTAGTGTTTTAACAAAATATTGTTAAATATTTAACAATATTTTGTTAAAACTATTCTGTTTTATTTTATTATTAGACATATTGAAATTTTAATTTTATTAGCTATACTTTTTTTTAGTTAGTAAAAAAAGGCATAACAGTTTTAATAAAGTTAACTTATATTATAAGAAATAATAAACTTTTAATTTTTTATTAATAATTTTAATAAAGTTAACTTATATTATAAGAAATAATAAACTTTTAATTTTAATTTACATAAATAGAAGTGAAAAAGAATAAAAAGTATGCTTTGCTAAGCACAACCAAAGAACAAAAAAATAGAAAATGCAAAAACCTTGAAAATACTATCAATGCTAAAAGCCTACCTTTCTGCATCCAGAGCCTTTTGAGCAATGAAAAAACCACGAGTGTTTCTATTTAGCTTCAACTTTTTATCCATTGGATTAATAGCTAACCTAATGTTTATATATATATATATATATATATATATATATATATATATATATATATATATATATATATATATATATATATATATATATATATATATATATATATATATATATATATATATATATATATATATATATATATATATATATATGTATATATATATATATATATATTAGGGTGTTTCTTATTTGGAGTTTAAATTTTCTTTTTGTTATTTAGTGGGCTACCCACTGAAATGGTTCATTTTGGTGAGAAAATAAATGTGTAAAAATTTCAACGGGAAAAAAACATTTTTACTGGGCGCTACTTTTTTCTGTCAGAACATTTCTGTCTATATTTTTGAACTATCAACAACAGGAACTGCTTTTGTTCTTTGTTATTTGTACGCAATCTATTATATTTGTCCGTTAGTGCTATGACACGTTCTGCAATGTCATTGACAACCTTCATGCTTCAAACAGTGGACTTTATAGTCTTGAACTCATCATGTTCCCATTCGCTTACACTGTTTTGAAGAAAGTGTGATGGAAGTCCTGTGATGCTGAAAAATTTTCATGTATTAAACGTGACAAATTCCTCCAGTTTCTTTTCTTAGTAAAACTGAGCAGTCCACAGTAGCCCGTTTTATAGGTATCTGATCTGAAAAATTGTTCAATGCTTGCACCATCTTGACCTTCGTCTCAGGGCAAACATCATCATCAAAAAAAGCTAAAGCAACAAGTTCCTCTGATAGGTACCAGAGATGCTCTTGTAACTTCTTCATGGCAATTTTCGAGATCTTAGGATGCTGGGTCTTGTAGGCATCCAAGTCTATCAAGAGCTTCAGATCAAGTCTAGGAGCTGATGTTGCTTTAGGAGGTCTGTACCAGGCTGTAATGGACTGTCAAACCGTGAAAAGGCAAATATCCCTTATTTCCTTCTCTCTTTTTATCAACATGAATTGGCCTCTAAACATTCAAATCTTCCAAGCATAAATAACTTTTACCATCCAGCGAGCATGGTGTAGATCGGCAGAAACTCTATATGAAATGCTCCTCAAAGGTACTCCTCCCAAAAAAACAATAGACAATTCCAAAAGTTCTCGGTAGTCGTCACGAGGTTGAAAGATTTGTAGTTGATCTTTGCAAAAGACAATTCTTTTATCACTGATATTGGTAAAAGCATTTAAAGTGTTCTTATTAGACTGTGCTGTGTGGTACTTTGTGGAATTAATTGAGACCCAACTTTTCTGAACTCTTTAAAAGAATGGTATGTCAGGTCCACTTGAAGAGCTAATGCTGGTGTTAACACAAAAGTTGCCCCACAATTACAGAATTTAGCCACATCTAAATTAGCCACCAACTTCTCATTCAGTATATTTTTTCTGCAATGTCTAGGACGCTTTGGAGCCAGTGTACCTGAAGTTGATGGCTCAGGGTCATCTTGGTTACCAGGCAAGGCATCTTTTGAGTTATGCTATCTTCTTTAGGGTTATTATGGTTATCTTCACCTTTAGATGATGATGAAAAAACAACTGTTTTTTTTTTTAGATTTTCTTGCCATCTCCTCTTGGTTCCTTTTTCATTTCTATTTGTCTTTTTTTTGATACTTCTTCTTGCTTTGCCAATTTCTTATTGACTGGACCCATTTTGCCTCTCCGAATTTTCTCTCTTTAACATAATAGGAAGTCCTCATCTTCCTGAATGGTGATCATTTCCAATATGTTGATATGGGCAATATCGAATAGATCTTCTAACCCTTCATTCCATAGGTCTTTTGTTTCAAATAATCTGAATGCTTAGCTTTATTCTCTTTATTTTTCTTCAACTTTTCCCATTCCTTGTAAATGTTTGCGATTTTAGGGACAACATGCTTCTTTAACTTCACAGGTATTCGGGCCTTTGACCAAACTTCAAAAATATCATTTGCTGTGGAGTGTAATGCTTTCCTAATGCTTTGCTTGGCAATCTGCTTGTAATGGAAGAAAAGGGCCAACACTTCCCTTTTTGATAAAAGCATAACACTATCTAAAGAAGAGGACATCTGTCCAATAAGTCATATCTCATTTTCTTTTCTGGTAGCTATCGTTGTACTGGTTGATGAAGCCATCACTATACAGTAGTTACACTAGTTTAACCTGCAAAAGAAACAATTAAGCATTATAAGCACAATTTTGCACACTAAAAGTAAAAAAATTACTAGTTAAAAGAGGTTTGTATGCTAAGCACCAACCACTTTTGTTGCATAACATCATATGCAACATAAGCATTTTTAGGGTACATTTGCATAATACTGTAGAGTCGGTTATGACCTCTAAAAATTGTTCTTAAAAAAAAAAAAATTGGGTATTACTTTTTTATGATAATGAACCAAATGGCAGGGTGGCCCATGCAAAAATTGAATCTTCAAAAATAAGAAACACCCTAATATATATATATATATATATATATATATATATATATATATATATATATATATATATATATATATATATACATATATATATATATATATATATATATATACATTTATATATATATATATATATATATTTATATTTATATATATGTGTATATATATATATATATATTTGTATATATGTATATATATATATATATATATATATATATATATATATATATATATATATATATATATATATATATATATATATATATATATATATACTAGGTTGGTTGAAAAGTTCGCGGAGCGGCACCTATGTTGCAGTAGTAGAAACAAATTTATAACTGTATTAAACGTATTCATTCTTCGTATGAACGCATAAAAAATTTCAAGTCGATATGTCATTTCAGTCTTTGTTTACAAGCTATTGAAATTAGACGTGTCATAGTATTTTTTAAAATGGAAAATATTGAACATCGTGCTGTAATAAAATTCTTTGTGAAAAAAGGTTTAAAGCCCATGGAAATTCATAATAAAATGGTAAATGTGTTGGGTGATGATGCTCCTTCAAAAACAACAGTATGCAAATGGGCTGCGGAGTTTCAACGTGGGCGTTCAAGCCTTGAAGATGACCCTCGCTCTGGACGTCCAAAAAGTGCTACTACTGAAAAAACGATTAATGCTGTGCATGACATGGTTATGGATGATAGACGATTGACCAAACGTGAAATTGCTGAGGCTGTGGGCATCTCAGATGAACGGGTATTACACATCTTGCACGATGAATTACGTCTGAGAAAGCTGTTGGCAAGATGGGTGCCGCATTCGCTAACTCTGGATCAGAAACGCACTCGAGTAAAACTTTCTCAAGAACATTTGACCCGTTTTCAAAAGAATAAAACAGATTTTGTGCGTCAATTCGTAACCATGGATGAGACTTGGGTTTACCACTATGATCCGAAGCTGCGACAACAAACTGCAGAGTGGACAGAACCCGGTTGTTCAGCTCCGAAGCAAGTGAAGGCGTCAAAATCGTCAAAGAAGGTTATGGCATCAGTTTTTTGGGATGCGAAAAGAATTTTATTAATAGATTACCTTCAAACCGGTAAAACGATAACAGGTGAATATTATAAAAATCTTTTGGACCAGTTGGATAAAAAAATTCGTGAGAAAAGACCTGGTTTGCTGCATAAAAAAATCATTTATCACCAAGACAACACACCTGCTCATATCAGCGATGTTGCAAAGGCGAAATTGGTCGAATTAAAGTACGAACGCTTGGAACATCCACCCTATTCACCAGATCTGGCTCCGTCCGACTTCCACCTCTTTCCACATCTCAAAAAATTTCTACGTGGAAAGCGTTTCTCATCACATGAAGAAGTCATTGCAGCCGTAAATGGGTATTTTGAAGGCCTTCCGGAATCGCACTTCAGAGATGGGATACATGAATTGGAGAATCGTTGGAAAAAGTGTATTGCTCTTAAGGGAGAATATACTGAAGAATAAAGTCATTTTTTGAATCATAAAATTGTTTTTTCATTTCCGCTCCGCGAACTTTTCAACCAACCTAGTATATATATATTATTAAAGTTAAAACTTTCAAAAAGGGATAAAATAAAGAGTTTAATTTAAATAATGTTCAAGTGATTTTTGATTGGTTGATACAACTGACTCTTTTATGTTTATGGGCAGTCGAATAACTCTATTAGTATTTAATAAAAAGTGTTTAAACAGTTTGAAATAAAAAAAAAAGTTCTAATTAATTGGTGTTTGAGTTATCAGAACATAGATTTTAAAACCTATATTCTCATACAAAGAAAAAGTATAAAATTTTGTTTTAACATTGTTATATTTTAATTTTAGTTATATTTTTAGGATAAAAAAGCTCATACTCATTTCCTTTCTTTGTTTTCAGTTCAATTGCAATTAGTAACAACTTTAATTTTTCATAGCACAACCTTGGTATAAACATAACAAACATATAAGGAACATATTTAGCTGATATTTCAAAATACAAAAAGTCATATATCTTAAAATAAAACAAATACATAAAAAATGTTAAAAAACTAACAAATAGAAAACTTACTCAACAGCCTTAGGAAAAGTCATACCAACAAATGAATTAGAGAGGTAACTCAAGTAAATTTCATTAGCAGCTCCTTGCATGTAAGCCACTTTCCATTGTTCAGTTTCTGAAATACTTTCTGATATCTAAAAAACAACACATAGTGAAACAAATGATGTATTTAAAATAGTTATAAAATAAAAAATATTTATATTTTTTTTATTTGTCCATTTATTTACCATAAAATATGAAAAATTTACAGTAATAAATATTAAACTTACATAAATAAGTTTAGGTGTCACTCATATAGTTAAAAACTAGTCAATGGAGTGACACCTAAAAAAACACATAAAAACAACAACAACAAATAGTAAATAAAACATAGAAAGAATTTAAAAAATAAAAACAAAAAAAAAATAAAAATAAAAAGATAACAACAAACAAAGAAAACTAACATATGAACCATTAAAAGAAATACAAAAAACAAGAGAGAAAAAACTAATAAATAAACCACTAAAAAATAATAAAAATATTAATAGTGAGAGTTTTTTTTATTTAATTAAATTAGTTGATTGAACCATGATAAGTTTTTGTAAAGAAATACTCCAAGATATTTTATATATTTAGATGGGAAAAACCCTTTATCATTACTTCTAATTTTCACATTTATTTTTAGGGTAAAAAATTATAAATTTATTTTTATTGATATTTAGAGAAACACAGCAGAATGATGAACAATCAAATTATTCATAGAGTGAGGCAAGTTGTTAAAATATATTAAAAACACTAAAGACCCTAGAAAAGAACCCTGCGGGACACCATATACTTAACAATTTTATTTGTGGATTAAAACCCATTAACCAAGAAAACTAAATACAATTTTTAATAAACAATAAAAACCATAGCGATACCCTGTATACCATAGTGATATAACCCTGTATACCATAGTGGTATAACTTTTTATTTAAAACCTTGTGATCAACTCTATCAAAAGCTTTTTAGAGATCAAAAAAGATGCCACAAGCAAAAGAACCATTTTGAATCGTACCAGGAATCATTTAAGTAATGCTAATAAGTACATGAGAAGTAGTGTGGTTTAAACAAAATTCGAACTAGCGGCCATAGAGACACTTAGAATTATATAGAAAGTGATAGATACAAGAATGCATTAGTTTTTCAAGAATTATATTGATATTTGATAATAATGATATTGGTCTATAGTTAGTGCAGTCAAGTTTTAAGTCATTTTTATGGATTGGTTTGACAGGCGTAGTTTTTAAAATATTAAGGGAATATAACAGTACCAAATGAGAATTTAAATATTTTAGAAAGTATAGGAGAAATATCATTAGTAAGAAGTCATAACCGACTCTACAGTATAATGCAAATATACCCTAAAAATGCTTATGTTGCATATGATGTTATGCAACAAAAGTGGTTGGTGCTTAGCATACAAACCTTAACTAGTAATTTTTTTACTTTTAGTGTGCAAAATTGTGCTTATAATGCTTAATTGTTTCTTTTGCAGGTTAATCAACAAAAGTTTCAATCTTAAGAAAAAATAAGTGATATTATTTCTTTTTTGTCAGAGTCAAGGTTTATTGCTTTTAAATTATATACTTATATGCTTATATACTTAAATACTTCAATACTCAAAGTCAGTATGGGATGAGATTTCCAAGATTTTAACTGGATCATGTATAATGATTTTGTGTAAGATATACACAACGGGTATGAGATATTATTGGAACATATATTCAAAAGAGTTCTAATACCCTTCCACATAACTATCAAACTATTGCTATTAGTAGTAAAATAGTTAGAAAATGGTTCTTTTTGCTTCTTCGAATAAGTATTACAAGTAAATTTCTATAGGTTTTGTAAGTTTTTTCAAGAATTAATTTGTCAAATTTTTTGTTTTAAGGAACTACATGTCTTGTTTCGTTTTTTTATTGAGGTTAAAATTGCTGAACTAATCCATGGTTTAATGCTCCAAGTTAAGCCACAAATACTCATTTTTTTTAGCGGTGCGTGTTTGTCTAGTTAAGTGAGTTAAAATCAGTAAAGAAATCTTCATATAATTTATTTGTATTACCATTGGAAACTTTAATTACTTTATTCCAGTTTGTTTTCAATTAATCATTCTTGTATTCTTCACTATTTAGTTTTTGGAAGTTTTAAAGAATAAATTATTGCTTTACAAGGATTAATATTAATTTTTTTAAAAGAATAATAAATTAGAAACTGTCGCCAATGATCCAATATTCTATTACTTATATTGCGGGAAAAAATTATATTTACAAGTTGAATTAAAAAAATATATTATCAATTAAAGTACTTGAGTGATTGGTAATTTTTGTCAGTAAGGATATAAAAGAAAGGAAGTTGTTTGAAGCAAAAGTTTTTTAATCCAAAATTGAATTATCTGAGTTTGCTTTTATAAGATTTATATTAAAATCACTTATTATAAAGATAGTTTTTTTTTCAACAGTAAGGTTTTCAAATAGAGTAGCTAAATATGAAACATTAAATTCATTAGTATTCACATTAGAATGGCAATAAACACTATGATATTGGACTTGAATTTTTTATGTCTATGTAATTACAATTGATTGGGTTCTTAACTATGTTCATATCATAACTGTCGTTGACGTCGTCATTGTTATTTAGCTTATAAATAAAGTAATTATTAAGTTAATTAAAAGTATCAGATTCAAAGTGAAAGATGATTAGTATGAATATTTTTTATCGCAAAGTTTGCACAGTTCAGACATAATAAGTAGAAATTAGTTTAGAAATAAAGATATTATTAGGATTAATACAACAGAAACAATAATATATAACAATAGTAGTAACTATAGAATAATATAAAAATGATAAAGTTTAAGATAAAAGCATTAACAATATAATAATAATAACACATAATAATAACAACAACAATAACAATCACAATCACAAAAAAATAGTGACAATAGTGATAATAATGTAATTAATAAAATAAAAAAAAAATATTATTTGGTATCATTTGTTATTTTGTTTAGTATTTTTTTCAGCTTTACTTTAACAATAAAATTTTTGGTTATGATAATAAATAATGAAATTTTTCCCCAAAGAAAACATAATATTATATATCTCTGCTTGTTTGTATGTTTAAATATGTTAATAGATTTGTATTTATATATTGTTAGTTCTTTTATGCTACTGTTATTCTAATGTGTATTATGCTGTTTTTATTACATAGATATGAACCATTAAAAGAAATACAAAATTGATTATACTTATTTTAACAAAAAGGGGCATTGAGATAATTATCAGTACATGAATCTTACCTATTTTTGGGTTTTAATACGCAAAGATTTTGAAATACACAAGGAGATAATTTTTTGTTATATTTAAACATAAATCATAAAATGTTATAAAAGTTTAGTTGGTAAATATTTTCTTTCTGCAGTGGCTTCGTGCATAAAATGGTTTTTAAAATTTATTACGTGAGCTGTGTGTTTCTGATGATGATAAAAAGATTTAAGAGATTAATTGTTACTTTTTGAAGAGAAAAAAACTTCCAAATACTTAAAGGTTTTTAAAGAAACCAAAGATTTCAATTCTTTTAAGCTAGTTGTTCAATATTCTCAAAGTTTTGAAAGTAAAAACTAGGTCTTTTAATAGTTACATTTAAATTTTTCATTTTTGTAGTATATATTTTACTGTTTAATAAAATAAGTTACATAAGAGTTTCACGTAATAAATAGAAATAAGACAATTTAAAAAACAGACCAGGACTCAAAGAATATATGGGCGGGCAACACCACCTTAATCTATTTCATAGACCTCCTTAAAAAAATAAATATTGACAAGTTAAAAGAATTAAAAGTAAGTTTTTTGTTTATTGACATTTTCATGTTCTGTATTCATAAAGACACAAAAAAATTTATTTAAAAATTGTTGTAATAATTGAGTAGGTACCAAGGTAATTTAAAAAAGAAGATTAGAACTTAATTTAGTAGACGATGAGTAAGTATCATTATTATCTTTTACATCATAACTTTTAATTTTGATTTTAAATAAATCAAAATTAAAAAAAACCCAAGAGTATATTGTTCATAACCAAGAGAATATTGTTCAAAATCAAGAGTATATTGTTTAACAACTACATGCTCTTAAGAGATATCTAAAAGATTTAAGAGAATAATAAAAAACCCAAAAGTATATTTATCATTATGACTTTATATGTAATGCCAATAGATTTTACAACTTTTGAGAAGGTAATGTCAATGTAATTTTTCCATGATAGATTTTTATCAATATACACTCCTAAAATTTTGCAACTTTTTCACTTTTAATAATAATATTGTCAATAAAAAAATCAGGTAATAGAGTTGACAATATTTGTTTTTTTGAGTGTGGAAGAAAAAGTATCCATTTAGTTTTATCAATGTTTAAAAACATTGATAAAATATTGTAAATGGTTCAAAATTATTCATTTTGAACCATTTACAAACTTTTTTAAGCACGCTTGTCATGTTATTGAAAAAGTGTATTTTCATAAGATAAAAACAAGTTAGTGCATCTAAAAAGATTATGGCTGATAGGTTTGATGTTTTATTAAGATCATTGATATATGTTAAAAATAAAAGCTTTTAAACCAATTAAACGTTTTATATTTTATACCATAAGAGACTAGTTTTTTTAATAAGATCTCATGATAGACGGACATCTCATGATGGACATGTCTATATATACATATATACAAATATTCACTAATAATAATACTTAGCTCTACTATTAAATATAGTAATAAATATTATAGTATTAAATGTAATAACTGTTATTATTAGTTTAAGACTCTATAATTTGAATTTAAATAATTATGACTCATATTATTGCAATAGGTGCTTATTATTACTGTAAACAGTCATAAAAAACAAAAATTATATAATAATCAACTCCCCATTCTTCCTCATTCTGTAATTGTACATAAGTTATATTAAACATTCAATTTTGCATATACAGTGCAACTGTACAGATCCTATGGCTATAACTACGATTGAGAGTTATGTGGTTTACTGTCGCATAACTCTCAATCATACCTACATTATATACTGTGACCACCTAATAATACTGTTATATTGTTATACTAATGACTTGTTAAAATGACATATATCAAACCTATATGTTTTAATTCTTCTACTCTCACTATAAACATTATCTGTGGGACTGAGCACTTATTTTGTAAGTAAGAAGTATTGACCTCAATCCATACTGCATCCCTGCTAGCAATGCTCTCAACTTGTTTAATTAACTTGCTTGTTAATAAGTTTCTGAGATAAAAAAGATTTGCGACAAAATAAAAAATAAGTATCCAGACTAAAAAACACCCAGTGAAAACTTAAAATAAACAAAATATTAAAAAACATCAAAAATTTAAAAGATCAATATAAACATAATATATTTAACTTATTCTACAAGCTTATTTCTGTTGTCATGGTAGTCATGATAAAACTAAAACTTATTTAATAAAGAAACAGTTTATTTGGTAACAACAAGAATTAAATGGATAAAAATAAAACACTGAACATTACACAAGACAGTTTATGTAACTGTCTACCAAACAAAGTAGTAATAAACATATAAACATTAAAACACACATATTAGAAGATCCTTTTATTCTACAAGCTTATTTCTGTTATCATGGTAGTCATGGTAAAGCTGAAACTTTAAACATTAAACTTATTTAATAAAGAAGCAGTTTATTTGGTATATTAACATTAAAAACATAATTATTATTAGAGAATATTTCATGACTTTGATAAGCGATAATTTAAACATTTTTTTGTCATGAAGTTAAATACTGTAAATAAATTTAAAATAAGTTTTTAAATAAAACCTCATCATTAATAAAGATACCTTATCACTTCTTGTTCCAAATAAATTTCCAATTAATGTTGAAAAGCCAGGTGCATTACAAGACTGTGCCATAAAGCCTAGTTTTAACTCACTAATGCAAATTATGGCATCACCAAATTCTGCATTCCATTGAGGACAGTTTAACAAGTGTACCTAACAAACATACAAAAAAAAAAGATAAAATAAATGTTACACAAAACATAATGGTGTATTTGCAGTTTACAATTAAAAAAAAAGGGTTTTAAAAATATTTTGTATTATTTATCAAATTTAACTAAAACTACCTTATTGTGGTTCATCATTATTTGAACAATGCAACGAACACGCTCTTGATAATTTTTAACAGCAATTACTCTAGAAAATAAATATCGCAAAATGCAATAAATAACAAATATAGTACAAGACAATATAAATATATACATAAAGGTCATATATTAAAAATGTATAGAAAAATAAACAACAAAGTAAGAAATCATTTATTAAAAATTTTGAAAAACTACTAAACATTATTGTGTTTAAAATATTTAAAATATAAAGTTAAAATATAAACTACCTTGTTATATTTGCTGCATCTTCTTCATCTGGATTAGTACATTTTTTATTGCATAATATAATTACAGCATCCGCATTTTTGATCTGTATATACAAAATATTTACTAAGTAAAGATAAAATGTAATAAGCAACTGAGCAAAAAAAAATATATATATATAATATTTTTTTTAATTAATTAAATTGCAACAGGACAACCATTGTTCATAAGAATAACTAAAAAATAAATGAGAGAACAAGAAAATAATTGACAGGAGACTTAAAAAGCATTAAACTATGTAAATCAAGAAAACACAAAGATAGATAAAATTTCTTAAAAACTCATGTTTGTGGAAAAAACTTGATAAATAAAAGGCTACAAAAGCTGGTATAAACTATATCACATTTTTGTACCTTGTGCAAAAAAAGAGCATACTTAAACAAACTTAAATATGAAAACAGTATTCTATACAGAGACAGATAAGAGAGTTAGAAAACCATGAGCTCCATGGACACCTCAGCAAACACTTATTTTGAAATCAGTTGGTTATAAAGTTATTATAAAAACATTATAAGGCATATAATGTTTTCATAAAGTTTCAGGAGTAAAAAATGTATAGAAGATGAGTCAGGATAAGTGTTATCATTCATTAAGAGTAGTACAGTAGAATCCCATTAACTCCGATCCTGGATAATTGGGACTTTTATTAAGTCGGACAAATTTTCAATTCCCCTTGAATTCTCTATACATACCAAGCGCTTCGCTTAATTCAGACATTCTCTAAGTCGGACAAATATATATACCTGTTCAGAGTCCCAGTTAGTGGGATTCTACTGTAACTCTTTTTTAATCACAAAATTTCAGAATTAAAAATGTCAATCAATCCTGGGATAAAAATAAGATTGAATATAATATCTACACAATAAAACTACAAATAAAAAAATACATTAAAAAATATATATAATTATTAAATGAAGGTAATTTACATTGCTGGAAGAAAAAACATACAAAAATTATGTTATGAATAAGGAAATACATTATGTTTTATGTGCTTTGAATTATGACTTCAAAAAGCACTAACTGTCAAAAGTTTTGTACTGAATAGTTCAAGAAGCCTCAGCTGTTTCTAGTTTTATGGTCATCAGAAATGAATATATTAAATGCTCTTTGTAATTGAATAAGCTCTTTGTAAATAATAACATTGTGTACCTCCATTTTTAAAAAATTTCTTTTTGTATTTTGATAACAACAACTGAATTGCTTATTGACTTTTATTAATAACATGATCATGTTCATCTTAAATACTTAAAGGATTACTTACAGAATCAAGAACCATTTCAGATTATTTAGTCAAAGCTGGTGCATCAACTGATGCTTGGGCTAGAGCAGGATTGAAAGCATTTTTCAAGCAATTTTACCAAAATTTATAAAAATGATGTACTAATATATTTAAATGAAAAAGGCACTATATTATATATATTATTTCTTCCTCAACTTAAACAAAGCTTTAACCTTTATTCTGGCATTGCAGAAGTCCACTTGTATCAGATTGGCTTTAATGTATACAAACCATTAAAGCTGTATGCATTTTCTTGTTTGTGTTATTTTCATTTTAATTTAGTATAAAAGTAATAGTAATGTTGGCTGGAAACATGAATCTTGGCGACAACTTTAACCATTGGGTATATAGAAACTAGAGGAGTTCCCAATGTCAGTAAAGTCTCCTTCGTTTTACTGTATCTGTTCCTGCATGCTCTAAAAACTTTTATTAGTCTAGTTTTTTTCCCAGCACTTTAACCCTTTGGAACTCTCTCACATCTTCATACAACCTTCAACTTTTTAAGTCTTCTGTCAACCGTTTCTTTGCTCTATAACTCTATTCTTTTTTTTCTAATAACTCCCAACTTAATAGTGGTTGCTTGCAGCCTTGTTGGGAGTGAATCAGAATATTTAAACATAAAAAAATGAAACAAAAAAAAACTAATGGTTGTAGCACTTTATTACTAAAAAGTCTCATATAATATTGTTTAATATTGTTACTATTGTTAATTGTTAATATTGTTACATCATAAGAATTAGCAACCAGCAACCTTCTTTTTTTTAATCGTTAATACTGTTACTTCATCATATGAATTAGCAATCAGCAACCTTCTATTTTTTAATTGTTAATATTGTTACTTCATCATGTAAATTAGCAACCAGCAACCTTCTATTTTTTTTCATAATACTAGCTACATATGTCATTTCATAATACTAGCTACATATATAACAACATTTGTCTAAAAACAAAGAAACTTTCTCTCTTACCCCCAAATTCAGTTTTCTTATGCACTTTAATTTGATAAATTATACACATGCTTACAAACTGCGTTTACTGATATCGACAGATTTTTTAACTCCATGGCAGTTAGGCCAGTAAATCTGTTGAAGAACAAATCATACTACATGAATGCCAGACAATGACACTTTAAAGTTACATTTTATTAAATGCTTTCACAAAAATTATTTAAAAAATGTGAAATGTATATTTTTTATAGCAATTTATGAGCCGTATCACAATGCATATAAACAATTAAACAGGACTAAATAAACAAAGGTAAAAGGTTTTCTATACTTATACTTTTATACTATATATTATACTTTATAAAAAATTAGAATGAAATATTAATTAATATTAATATTATTTTTACAACTGCATAACAAAATAGATTAACAAGTATTAGGACGTGTCTGATGCAAACAGAAATTATGTAATGAAATAAGATTTAACAACATCCAAAATTTACAGTTTATCATAGAAGGGACTAATAGGAAAAAAAAATTTCACTGCACTTTTAAAATGATCTTTAATTTTTTTGTTTTTATAAATAAAGTTTATAAATCAAATTTAAACATTTGATTTATATACTTAATTTCTTCAAACTTCAGACCTAAAAGCTATTGTATTTTGCATATTATATAGTGTTATATTATATTTTTGTAGTTAGTAACTTTTTTACTAATATTTTGTTGCTCATTAATTAAACTTAATTTTTCCCAAGTTTTATACATGTTAAAGAGTAACATAAACTATAAAATTAACCTCTGCTAACAATTAAAATAAATTATTTAATTGTGGACTTCAGGAAAACATAACTACCATGAATTTTTAAAAAGAATTTATGTAAATAACTTTTTATAAACAATGTAAATTCGAATTGTAAAACAAATTATTAACCGAATATTTTTTATTACATTAAAATTATTAAACTAATATTTTTCATTACACCTATGAACCCTATCAAGGTTTATAGGCTATACCTCTTTTTAAAAGAAGTTAATACATTACACTTTTAAATGGATATGCTGACTGACATCTTACAAGGTTTTGCAAAAAATTATTTTCTCAAGTAAAACCATTTAGAGAACTTTTTTACAGTACAACTGGAAACATACTATTACTTTTAATTTTATACTAATTGATGGTTGTATTATTGCTTTGCATAATTTGTTATCGTGGGATTGATATTAGATAATCTTGTAAATTTAAAAAAAAATGCAGGGATCATGAGATTGCAACTATTATCATTCATAAAAACCCAAGTGTAACATTCAAATTTATATATATGTATATATATATATATATATATATATATATATATATATATATATATATATATATATATATATATATATATATATATATATATATATATACATGTATGTATTTATATATATATATATATATATATATATATATATATATATATATATATATATATATATATATATATATATATTAGGGTGGGGCATAAAAATTTTTTTTCTTGTTGCAGGCTCTAGACATTGCTAGAAAGTTGTTTTTTTATGTACTAATTTAGGAAAATATCTACTTTTATGGATTGAACAATGTCTTCCACCCGCAACTATTATTACAAAAATTAGCAGGCCCTATTATTATTCAAAAAAAACTTTAGTTACACCTTAATTCACCACTTTGTTTATCTAGTAAAATTTTAACCTGCATTCTTTCTGCATCAACTGAAGAATAAATTGTTCCCACAAAGTAAGATGTCCGTGTTTCATATTTCTTAAGTGATGTTTGTATGGTTACATCAGGTAATGAGCTAAAAATAATTTTTCAGTTTCACTTTAATAAAGTGTTTAAAAAGTAAATTAAAAACTCTACAAAAAAGTTTTTTTATGAAACTAGAAAAAAATCTGTGTTTATAAATTTTATGATTGTTTTTTGTAACTTTTGAAAGTATCCATAATTTTAAGATAGATTAAAAAATTTACAAAATTTTTAATTTAAGGAAAACTTCATATTTTTTTTTAATAATTGTAAATCATTTAAAAATTATTTTTATAAAAAATTTAATAAAATTTTTAAATATAAATTTTTACTGCCTTTTTTTAAAAATGTTTTATAAATTATAAATATAGTTTTATTTTTAATTTTTAAAGGAATTCCAAAATGCTAAAACAAATTTTGTTCCTATGGTAAATAAACCTTAGAAAATACATTAAAACTTATTTTAATTTAAATTTAAGAAAACAAAGTATTTATTAAGATATAAAGAACACAATAATCAATTTGTTCTGTTAAGCATATAGTTTTAAACTTATTTTCTAAGATTTATATATATTTATAAAAATATAAGATTTATATATATTTATAAAAAGAACACAACTTTTCTTCGCACTTAAGAATCCCTTTAAATACCTTTACAATAATGTTACTGTATTTTTCAACAACAAAAAAATGTTACCTGAAAACATCATTACAATCTTGAATATTTTTTCATTGTTAGTATTTGAGTTAAACATTATTTTTTGTAGAAGATATGATAAATAATAATAAATAAAAGTAAAAAATGATAATAATAAGTAAAGTAGTAATAATAATAACAAAAAAATAAGAGTAAAGTGATTAGTATTAAATCTATTGTATTAGGCTTTTTCAGTACAAAATTAACCTTTCTCAATTTATAAAATTCCAAAGTTTTCTTAGCCTAGTGACACAAAACTAAGTCAGGCCAAAACAAACAAGGTCTAGCATGCAACTGAATAGTGGCAAAAGTTGCTTTTGAAGACACTCTTGAATATATTTTCTGTCAAATAAATGTCAAAGTTGATGATTTTATAAAAGCTTTACTCTTTTTTCCGCAGCTACAAACTACTTGCCATAAGAGTAATTTTTTACATATTTTTTAATAAGTTTGCTTGTATTAATAATTGTTATTTAAACTATAGGAGGTTGGCTAAAGTCACATTTTATGTAAGCCTTGTTGTCCATAATAAAGGATCAAACAAAAAAAAATCTTTTTTTCAGCTTATTCAATGAATAGTCTTTTAAAACGTTTTTTATTCCTTCTAACAGTAGATAAAGAGGTTCCAGTAGGTTTAGAGACTTGTTTGTAGTTTCATGATAGATTTTCATAAGGATTTTTTTCTGATTTTCAACTTGCTACAATGAGATTTACACAAACTATAACTCGAATTTTTTTTATGTTTTTTGACTATACTCATTACTTAATTGAGTGTAGTCAAAAAACATAAAAAAAATATTATCACTAATTATTTTTTTATGTGTAACTTACATATATGGTTTCCATTTCTCATTTTTTTTTAATTCATGCTTTATATGTATATATTTATATGTATACGTGCATGCTATCTCTTTTATAAACTTTATACCTCGGCATATTAACTCTAAAGATAAAATCGAACAGTTAAATTAAGGCCAATTAAATTTGGATAGTTTTTATTAACTATTAAGAATAAAGAAAAACTGTTTGCTGTTCATTAAATTATATGAATAATTGTACCATTAACATACAAAAAAATAAAAGCAGTTGTTTAAATAAAAAAATTAAAAATGTATTTGATAGATGTATAAATTTTTTTGTTAATTCATCTCCTCTAAGCCGAGAAGGCCTAGAGGAGGATGGATTTAAAAAATTCTGAGGAATATCTACAGACGAAGGCCACTACAGACGAGGAGACTTTAGTGCAGATATAACCCTCTCTCAACTCTGAAACACAAACCTTGACAAAAAAGCCCGCTGCGCAGAGAAAAACGCGGTACTACCAGGGACATAGTGGGGATCAAATTTGGAACCTCTCATTTATGAAGCAAGCGCTCTACCACTACACTGCATCTAAACAACTTGAAAAGAAAAAGTAAAAGTATCCATTAATAGATAATAATTTAAGATAATATTCTAAACTTCTTGAAATTTCTTTTTAGCTATATTCTACAATTAGTTGTGTTTTTATGTTATATAATATTTATTCAATATTTTATGAAACTTTTCTAAATATATACATTTTTGTTTTACTTTATTTTCTGTTTTCTAATTATATTCTTATTGCTAACATTGTTTCACAAAAACATTAAAAATTTTTAAGCAACAAAACTTACGGCGCTAAAAATACAACCACAGTAGTGTTGTCATTTCTGTCTGGATGTAGAAAATCTCTTAAAAATGAAGAAACACTTTCATGAGTAATGTATCCACAAACAATTACATGCCTGAATAATAAGTTGAATTTAGTTAATAAAAACTAAACATTACTTAGTAAAATTAGTAGTTTAAAAAACCTAATAGTAAAAATGGAAGATTTATTTAAAAAAATTGAAAAAAACATTAACGAAAAAATGAAAGTTCCACTAGATAAAAAAGTGAACTCATGAAAATTTTACAAGAGAAAAAAATATATAACTTAGAACTTTATTAATAGTATTTCTCAATTATTACCATTATTAATTAATGGTATATGATTTACTTAAATAAACCTTTGCATTAAATAAACCATATCACATGATCACATGTAATTACATATGCATAATTAGTGATTTTATGTAATAAAAAGTTTATCACATAAAATTTGATTTTAATGTGATCAAATAATAATTTGCATACTTCTTGCCTGGAATTGGAACAAATTCCTTGTTATACTTTGTATGAGAAGAAATATAACTTGAAATGGCAGGAAGGTAA